AAAAGAAAAGGGCAGGCATCATTCCTCTGACTGGTCTTTGTAGCTTTTCCCTGAAATCCCGTGCTCCTGCACATTTGATGTACTCTCAGTGACTCACCCTTAGAAATCTTTAGAGCTTGCCCCTGCTGTTACGATTTCATATGTGCAAAAGGAAATTTCGAAAGATGTCATTATCTCCTGTGCTGGTCCTTGTTTTCCTGGAGATCTGAAACCATCCCTCAGTTTGTTTTTAGAAGGTATCCAAATACTGACCTCATATGGCCTACTGTCATGTATGAGGTACACAAAGACAAATACATATGTCGAGCGGAAAAATGTCATTCTCAAAAAGCAACTGTTTTTGAAAGCACTTGTCTGTTGCAAAGGCTCTCTTTGACAGCATAAATTGACATACAAGGGTAGTTTTGGTACTTATCCTGGGATGTTTAGTGATCACAATAAAATAATGAAATTATAGAATCATAAAATCAACTAAGTTGGAGAAGACCTTTAAGATCATCAAGTCCAACTGTTATCCCAGGACTGCCAAGTCCACCACTAAACCATGTCACTAAGGGCCTCCTCTACATGTTTTTTGAACACTTCTGGGGATCGTGGTTCTACCACTGCCCTGGTAAGCCTGTTCCAATGTCTGATCACCCTTTCAGTGAAGAAATTTTCCCTAATATCCAGTCTAAACCTTCCCTTTCCTCCTGTGTGTGGACTGAACCACAGTGCGTTGGTGTCATTGATAAACTTGCTGGTCAAGCCGACAAAAATGCTGGGTACCATTTGCAGTTTGCGCTTGTATAGGTAGGAGGGGTGGCTCGTTGGCTTAGCAAGTTGTCACAAATGTAAGTAAAATTCGAGTTCCTGCAACATACCCGCTGTAGGTTTGAATGCCAGTGCTCACCATTCCATGCTGAGGGTCTGCTCACTGCAGGGTAAATGGGCACAGAAAAAAGGTGAGATGGATGGAGAGCCTCTCCCCTACCTCCCCAAAGGATGCTTAGCAGGGTGGGGAGAGGGAAAGGCTGCATTGTCATTTTATTCTAAATCTCACATTTGGGTGGGCAGAAATGGAGGCAGCTGCCTCCTTTTTGTTAGGATGTTGATCGTTCAGGCAGCCAGGACTTTTCGCCAAGAGGCAAGGCAGGGCAAAGCTGGGTGGGGATGGGTTGGTGGTTCCGAGCACCAACCAGCCCTGTCTTCTTCCAGCAGCAGAGCTGTCATGTAAAGCTCTCAGATGAGTCCTCGGGAATGTGGGGAGCTGCTGTAGGCAATGGTGTGAAGACAGGTGTCCAGAAGACAATGACAGCTCTCCACCTGCTTTAGGGATGGCAGGGGTGTTGGGATGCTCGCTACTCCCCAAGGATAGGCAGGAGGTGGGTTGGGGGCAGGCCAGGGCACCATCCCATGGACTGGGATACTCCTTGCCACCCACCACGTCCATTCCTGGGCAAGGAGACTGGCGCTTGCAGAGCAGGCTTTGTCTCTGCTGGGCTCAGTGGACAACTAAGTGACATGGGACTTACCCTATGGCAAAATACGCTTCTTCTCTTTGTTTTCCAGTCATGCAAGAGAGCCACAGGGCAGATTTTCTGTGACTGACACCAAGAGCTTCACAGCACTGGTACAAGAGAAGAGGTTGCAGAGGGTAATTCTGTGAATGCAAAACCCAGGGATGCCATTATGGCATTGAAACCTGAACCTGGACATCGCACAGCCTCTTTTTCCTCTTCCAAATCCCTCTCCTAAACCCACTGCTTTACAGCTAGCCTTCCAGGCTCTCCTGGCCGACAGTCCATAGCCTGCAAGCTGTTACTTGGCTGCAACAACAGAGGAGTTAGAAGTAATGTCTGTAAAAGAAAGAATATCTCTAGGAATTAGTGCTCTGGTTGTGTCAACAAAGCCAGGTAACATTCCCGGGCAAGCAGTACTGCAAAAAAAGTAATTTAAAAATGGTATTTTTCTTCATGGTGATGGCCGGAAGACATCCAGAGCTTCTGTCCAAGAGTGGGGTTAAAGCAGGCCCTCTTGCCCTTTGTTAGTCCTTTGAGAGATGGCTTGATGGACAGCTGGGTGTGCCAGTGGCCTTCCCTTGCAAGCGTGGAAGGGACGGAAGAAGAGGGTGACAGGGCTGCCAGGGAGGGTGCTGGGCTCTTTCTCAGTGTGAGTACTTCAAAGTCCAATGAAGTCTGGCTGCAGGACCATCCTTTGGCTTTGCAGCCTCTTGGGCTTTGCTCTTCTCCTCTTCCTTGTTGCAACAGAGTCATACAATGCATGGCTTTCCTAGCACTTCTTATCCAGCCTTCACAAGCATGACCGAATCTCTGCATTTCTTTACCTAGCAATCACTGCTGGGGTTCATAATACTTTGACAGAAAAACCTGTACTGATTTTTCACATGCCTGAACCACATATTCCTGCCAGAAAAATATATCAGCTTAGGCCTGGCTGCAGATGGTGGGTTTATCTTTGTTTTGTTGGCTTCTTTCCATGGTTGTGCTGTTTATTATATGTTTTGTGTTAGCATGCTTCAGCACACAGAAAGGGGAAAACCAGCAGCAGACTGTCCCTTACCTTGTTGTCACCAGATCATAGAATCATAGAATAGTCTGGGTGGGAAGGAACCTTCAAAGCTCACCTAGTCCATCCCCCCTGCGGTGAGCAGGGACATCTTCATCTACATCAGGTTGCCCAGGGCCCCATCCAGCCTAGCCTTGAATGTCTCCAGGGATGGTGCATCCACCACCTCTCTGGGCAACCTGTGCCAGTGTTTTACCACCCTCATTGGAAAGAATTTCTTCCTCACATCCAGCCTAAATCTGCCCTCTTTTTAGTTGAAAACCATCATTCCTCATCCAGATGCATCAGGTGTCACAGTGAGCCTGTTAACAGAAGGCTTTTTTGTGCTACCACAGGTAAGTATAAATTCATCAGATTTACATCCCAGAGGCCTATTACACCCCAAGAGGTGCTTCAGTTCATTGTCCAAAAAGCTGGCACAGCAGCACAATCCCCCAACCTTTTTTGATGCCTACATCCCCCTTCCCTACATCCCCATATGCAGGTGTTTCTGTGCACTGACATTTCTAACCTTCAGCTTTTCCTCCCAGAATTTCTCTGTTTCTGCCTGTGTAGTGAGGGGGAAGTACCTGCCTCACCAGGCAAGGACAGGTTCCCTCATCTGATTCAATCCCCCTTATTAAAGCAGGTTTTGATGCACGAGGGGCAGCTGACTTAGAGTTAGGAGGGTAGGAATGAGGCATTCAAATTCCTGCAGATGCGAAAGCCACCTCTGACCCAGCCACAGAGGGGAGGGGAAGGAGAGGAATATCTTCTGGATGCTGCCAGGAAAGGCTCCCGCCAGCCCTGGAAAGCCCAGCTGTCCATGGCTCAGCTGCCGGACCAGCTTCTCCTGCTTGGCTCCAGGCTCTTGTCTGCATTGGGCAGTCGAAGCAAAGGTGTGATTTCAAATGGGTTTAACTGAGCTATCACAAATGTCCCTTGAATGCAAGACTTCAGAAAAATCTCCTTGTTTTCATGTGACTGCTGACACGTGTATGTTTAGGAAGGGGGACTTCCAGCTTGGTGGGCTGCAAATGGGTACAGAATTTCACCCAAACACTTAAAAAGTATGTGAGGCTTTGAAAATAAAATAGTCAATAATATATTTAACTTAATGTGGTTCATTGCTGTTGCATGCAGATAATATTATTCATTTTCATGCGCAAAGCAATAAAACCCTTTACTTTTATATTACCCTGAAGCGCACAGTTTCCAGACTGGTGTTGCATGCGGAAGAAGGGCCCTGGAGTCGGGGTCATTTCAAAGAAGGGCTTTGGAGTTGGGGTCTGCCCCTGGATGTGTAGGGGACTCACCCAGCCACTCTATAGCATTTTTCAGACACAAGCCCTATGCAGTCATGAAGGATTATAAACATGAGAACTTCCTACGAGGTGCTTAACAGTGAAATCAGTTGTAGTTACTGATTAAAAGAGAAAACAACATTCTAATTTCATGTACAGTACAGTGGCAAAGTGATTTTATACAGTACATGCAGGGACTTTGGCTTAAATTTGAGGGTATTTATTTATTGCTTGTACAGTTGTGTGATAAATTGACAAGTAGAAGCACAGATGGCTTTCCCTTAAGATCAGGCATCACATGCCACAAATTATCTGGGAAATTGTCATTTTAAAAATAACTCTGGAACAAGTGCCAAGCTGAGAGGGATATCAGTGTCTAATAAACAGATATAAACACAGCAGTGCCCAAAACTAAAATATATTTGAATTAAACTATGCGGAGAGAGAGCGTATACAATTAGCACCTATTCTCTAGCACCACAAATGAAAGCTTTTCATCCTGTATTTTTTTCTGCCTCTTTCTCATCAGCAAATTCAAATAATGGGGGGTTCTTTTGTGCATATTTAAGCCACTGTGGAGTTAACAGCTTGAATAGTTGTGTTAGATTCTTATGTTACAGCTCCTAAAAAAATATCAGACCAGAAGGAACATAAGCACATTTATAGGCAAGCAATTTCTTTTTAACTGTTCTTCAGGGTGGTGACACGTTTATGCCCTCGCTCCTATTGTCTTCAACCTCACGTGCATCACACCTTGGGAAGGTGAGATCCTGGACCCTGGCAAAACACAAGGGGAAAATTATATCCTGCATCTCACAGCCACGGCTGCTTGCTTGAAACAGAGCATTTGTTAGACTGGGGCAGCCCTACACTCTCTGCTGCTGTGCAGAGATAAGGGGGGAGCAGATTGTGTTTGCTTATCACTCGCTGTCTTCCTCAAGGGGTGAAGGCCACCATGTGTGAGTGAGGAGAGCCAGGGCCCTGCCAGCCGCCCCCCCGCCCCCCGCCAGCTGTCACCTGTCCCAGCCTGTCCTCCTCTCACGCGCTTATATGGGCACGGCAGGATGGCACCTCGTGACGCCGCGCTGCTAAAAACGGCCCCGGCTCCCTTCGGCCCCTCGTTTGAACAATGTCCTCCGGCCACAGCAACACAGAGAGACTCTGATCGCAGCGTAGCCTTGGACTTATTTCAAGGGAAATTAACTTGGAAACCCCTCCACGAGGCTGTAATCCTAAGTGTATGCCCCTGGAAAAGCTAGGGATGAGCACCGCCCTGAACTACAAGTCCTTCTCCAAAGAGCAGGAAACCATGGATAACCTGGAGAAACAGCTGATTTGCCCCATCTGCTTGGAGATGTTCACCAAGCCTGTGGTGATCCTGCCCTGCCAGCACAACCTCTGTCGGAAATGTGCCAGCGACATCTTCCAGGTAGGTTTCTTCCCGCAGAGAGTCCTGCTCCCCAGGCACCACTGCCTGACGTGAACGGAGAGCAGGCTTTTTACATGGTGTGGACGACTGCTTTTAACAGTCGGTCAGGCAGGAAGGGGGGTGATTTAATCCAGAAGCTGTGTGTCCCTGGGGCCGGGGCTGAGCTCACGGCAGACTGAAGTGACACCTGTTAGCTGCCGGGACATGGCCACGTGTGTGAGCTGAGGAACTGGCCCCTCACCCTGCAGTCGCTGGGTGCTTTGCTGAGGGTGGCTTGTTGGAGCTACCCTCTCCCAGGGCATGTTGACAAACGGTTTCCTATAAGCGTGTTTTTGCCCCGGTGCTTTTGAAAGAGGTTTTCATGGCTTTGCGCGGCCTTACTCACCTCTCCTTGTGCTGCTTGGCAAGAGCAGGCCTCCAACCCCTACCTGCCGACCAGAGGAGGCACAACTGTGGCGTCGGGAGGCCGCTTCCGCTGTCCCTCCTGCAGGCACGAGGTGGTCCTCGACCGGCATGGAGTCTACGGGCTGCAGAGGAACCTGCTGGTGGAGAACATCATCGACATCTACAAGCAGGAGTCCACAAGGTAACGAGTGAATGTGTGCCCTTCAGAGGAGGTTTGCTACAAAATCAGACACGGCATAGGAAGCTTTTGGTCTCTTCATTTTGGTGCACATGAGGCTGATTTAGTTGTTTTGTCACTTGGAAATGCAGAAAGGGATCATGCTGCCATGCATGCCTGTCTGTTTGCTGTGCAATGAAGTCAGCTCTGACTGAGCACAGAAAACCTTATCCAAATAGATTCTGATTTTCCCTGCTTCCACTTACATCAGAGGACTGTGCCATGCTTATTCACATGAACAGCACTTACTCATGCAAACAAAGCCCTTGAGGTCAGTATGGCTCCATGAATAAGGGAAAAGCAGCTAGGTTCACATCATTAATTTTTAAAACAGTTCAGATTATGCTCATTTGTCTTTAACCTGGGTGTTCTCATGCTACAGAAGGCAAAGAAATTTCAAGTCTTGTTAGAAAATCCTGAGGGACAGACAGTGCAAACAAGAAGAAAACTGAATTTCACACAGAAGATACCCTGCATCATAATGTCGAATCAAAACTCAGTAAAAAAAATCTCCATTCTTGTCAGCTTGGGATGTGAACTCATGAACTTATTTAAGACTCCATAAAAGAGGAAGAATAACCAGAAATCAGTGCTGTGTGGCTGTGCACAAGATTCACGACCTCAGGGTAGAGGAATGGGTTGATCCTAAAAAGTAAGATTACTCCTGAATGTTAATTTTCTGCATTGGATGTGTAATGGATCCAGCAACAGAAAAATGTTGCATTCTCATCTTTCTTTCACTGGTATGGGTCGGACTCATGGTACCACCATGGGGAACTTAGTAGAGGGAAAGCTAAGTCTGGCCCCCGGCCTCTAAGCAAGCATATCTCACCCAGGGAAGCTGCCTTTTGTCACCAGCATGGATCCATACAGCCAGATTCGTATGGCAAGGTGTTTTGTACACCTGAAGGAGGGTGCAGTCCTGGCTGTGCTCCCTGACAGTCTTCCCATCCCACCCCAACAAGGAGATGGGTTTTGCTGCAGCAGGTGGACACAGACATTGGAGCCCAGAGCCTGGGATGGCTTAGGGCACTTCTCCCCTTCTCTAGCAGAGGACAGTCACCAGCAGAGAAAGCACTCCCAAAGGTGGCTTTGGCTGTTCTTGGCTGCTCAAATGTCTTTGGGGACTGATGTAGCTAAGCATAGGTTGGAGCTCCAAAGTGTCAGAGAGCACGAAGTTGGCTTAAAATTGTTCTTTCTGCTGCCCTTCACACTCAGTGCCAAGGGAAGGTCAGCTACCCTTGTGTGTGTCACTGATACCCAAATATTATTTTAGCCAGGAAAATCTCGGAGGAAATGAATCAGCATGGTGATGGACTTTGCTTTTGACCACATCAGCTAGACATGTGTGGCCTCGTCTTTCTCGGTTTTTGGTTTTTGTTTTTTCAGATCACAGTTGTGTTTAACTTAAAATATAAATGCTGCTCATTTTCCTATGTAGTTCATGGGCAATTGGAACAAAATTCAGTTAAAAAGATACGTAAGATATTTGGTAGATTTTTTTTAAATTCCACGGGAGTAAAACACATGATGAATAAAAGAAGAGAATAGGAAAAAAAGAAATATAGCATGAACATATATTTGCTGAGATATTTGTCCAAAAGGCTCGTTTATTCAGTCTGTTAAGGTGCTTATTTAACCTTCATGTATGTCCTTAGAATGAAAGTTATCATCAGGGTTACGCAGCAGTGGCAATGCATAGCAGCATTATCTAAACTATTTGGCACTTTGTTGGCCTCAGCTACTTATCTCCCTCTGCCTAACGTTTCTCAAGTTCCTCTGAGAATGTGAGCAAGATCTGCCATGCTGTTCCGCTGAAACCAAAAAGCAAGAGAAACCAAGTCTTCTCCACTTCTTCCTTCCTCTTCCCATCCGAAGGGCTGAGGTCTGGCAGAGGTATGTAAGAGGAAGGGGGAGATGTGACCTTTGCCTCCTTGTTTCTTCCCAAGACAGCCCTTCAAACTGGCAGCACCTGTGATTTGCACAGGAGCCTCTTTCCTTTCAGTCCTCCTGTGGGTATAATTCACCATAACTGCATGTGCCAGAATGATGCCAGCTCCCAGCTGCATTTCACGTGGACTTAGGAGAGTGAGGAATAATCCATCTAGGGAGCAAGCTTTGTCTCCTGCTTAGGCAAAACCAATTTATTTTAAAAATATTTTTTTAAATTTGAGCTTCTATTTGAATTAAGAATTAGGGCTTTTAAAATAGAAGCGGGGCAACAGCTGGGCTACAGGTTGGGGGGGGGTCTGCCCAAGCCCTCACAAGCAGCCCCTCCTATTACTAAAAATCACATCATATGGTCTTTTATGCCATTGCTCATCAAATTCTAGCTGTTGGCACCATAACCTGTTGCCCAATGTAGCATCTATTAGCAGCACAGGAAAGAAATCCTCAAGCAGGATGTGGCTTCTACACAGTTTTAAAGGACAGCAAAGGACTGACCCAGTTGGCTAAAACATTAAACCAATGTTTGAAAGTCTGTAGGCCACTGATGACCTGAACTATGTGAGGGCCACCAAGATGCCTGCTGCTACAAGGAAAGGTTAGCAACAGGAAGCTGTGACTTCTTGCAAGCTCTGGCAGCCTCTAACAAGCTTGGCTGGCTATTCCCTATCAAAAGGTGCTTTGGGCTTTGTTACAAGCTGAATCCCTATCAGGGAGGGTTGAGTGCTCTTTCCACCTTGCACCTGCCAAGGAGAGCCCTAGGTACAGGCTGAGCACAGATGAAGCAGTGTCTGCAGCAGTGTGCACAGCAGGGACTAGGCGCTGTGCTGAGAGCAGCATGTATGGGCTCTGAGATGGTGGTGACATGCTGGAGGATGGTGAAGCCGACACTGCCAGGAGCAGCTATCCCTGACACCTCAGAGGCCTCAGCCAGATATCCCATGGGAGGGCATGATTCTCCAGGACTGGCTGCAGGGATGCAAAGGGATCTCAGATAGGCTGGGTCAGGGAGATGGGCTCACTGCCCACGGGTTGCCAGGCAAGGGAGCTGCAGGAGAAGCCCCACAGATTGTGCAGTGAAAGATATAAGGAGAGAGATCACCTGGATCTTCTGCATCCCCCCATGGGGACAAAGCCCTAAGATCACCTGGTGTCTTGAGCCAGGCATTCATGATAGTACTAGTGTAATGGAGCTGCAGGAATTCCTATGTCCATGTCAACATTTATAGTCTTCTAATTTTTCAAGCCCCATTTCTACCCTGGCTATTGATGGGCTTTTCACTGCTTTTTGGAGAGCCTATCATTGTGATTGATTTTCAAGAACCATCTTCTCCAAGCTTAAGAATGGTTTATCGCCATATACTCAAGCAATGATGGCAGGATATCTGCATTGATTAACAGGGAGCTCCTGATAAAACACTAGAAAAGAAGCAAAAAGAAGGTGGACAGGTGACTCAGATGAGACACTGTCCAAGCATGTACAGATGGATTTAGGAGGGACATGGAAGCTAACAAGAAGAGCTTCTACAGGTGCATCAGCAGCAAATGGAAGATTAGAGAAAGTGTAGGACCACTGCTAAAATGGAGCAGGGTCTTCTGTGGCAAAGAACATAAAAAAGGCTGAGGTACTCAATGCCTTCTTCATCTGAGTCTTTACTGGTAAGATCAGCCTCCAGTAATCCCAGGCCCCTGACACCAGCAGGAAAGACTGGAGTAAGGCAGACATATCCTCGGAGGAGCGTGGTCAGGTTAGGGAATATAAAAAAAAAAATGGACATCCTGGTGGGACGCACCCATGAGTGGTGAAGAAACTGGCTGATGTCATTGAAAGACCATTCTCAATAATCCTTGAAAGCTCATGGTAATCAGAAGATGTTCCTGAGGACTGGACTGGACGAAAACAAACGTTACTCCCATCTTCAAGGAGGAGAATCCAGGGAACTACAGGCTGGTCATCCTCACACTGGTAAATTGAAAGCTATTCAAGCAAACCCTCCTGGAAACTATTTTCAAACATATAAAAACCAAAAAGGTGATGAGAAGTATAGAAATAGCATGTATTTATGAAGGGGAAATCAGCCTGGCTAATCCAATAGCCTTTTATAGTGAGACAACTAACCCAGTGAATGAGAGGAGAGCAGTGGATGTTGTTTATCTAAACTTTTGACAATGCCTCCTGTAACATCTTTATTGACAAACTGATGAAATAAGGTCTACAGTGGACAGTGAAGTGGACTGAAAACTGGCTGAATTGCCAGACTCAAAGAGTCATGGTGAGCAACACGAGGTCAGGTGGAGGCCAGTCATTAGTGGTGTATGCCCGAGATTGGTACTGGGGCTAATACAGTGTAATTTCTTCACTAATGACCTGACTGTGCTCCATGAAGTCATGCATTCCTTGACCAGGTGCAGGCACTAGGTGATGTGATGGTACAGGAAGGGCTACAGCTATCTTACGGTCCTCAGTAAAAACAGTATCAAAGTTGCATTCAGGACTTCAGTAGAAACCTTTTCGGATTTGTAAAAATCCTAAGAAAAACATGCTTTCTAACTAAACAGCAGTTTTCCTAACGTCTTACCATGTCCTTAATTAAAGCGTGCTCCTTTATGTGCCCAGCAACTTTGCATTTCCTCAGCAAATCACAGAACATCTGAGATTGGATGGGACCTCTAGACGTCATCTGGTCCACCCCCACTGCTCAAGTAGGGCCACCCAGAGCCGGTTGCCCAGGACCATGTCCAGTTGGCTTTTAAAGACTTCCACGGATGGAGACTCCACCACCTCTCTGGGCAACCTGTGCCAGTGCTTGGTCACCCTCACAGTGAAAAAGTGTTTCCTGAACTTCAGAGAGAACCTCCAATGCTTCAGTTTATCCCGTTGCCTCTGGCCCTGGCATTGGGCACCACTGAAAAAAGCCTGGCTCAATCCTCATAACACCCTCTGTTCAGGTATATAGATACCTGAAGATACTGGTAAGATCAAGGTCATTGTTAAGATCCCCCTGAATATTCCCTTACCCAGGTTGCAAGTCCAAAGCCACAACCTTTACTCACAGGAGAGATGCTCTAGGCGTTTAATCATCTTCAGGGTCCTTTGCTGGGCTCTCTCCAGTATGTCCATGTCTCTCATGTACTGGGGAGCCCAGAGCTGGACTCGGTATTCCAAGTGTGGCCTTACCAGTGCTGAGAATCCTCCTCTCCATAAAGCACACACAACACTCCACGTTAGGGCCAAAATCCAATTTTAATGGAAAAGAATAAGCATGTAACAGTCAAACACAAGGCTGAGCAATTCAAAGAGCAGAGTCGGAGAAGGAGAGCACAAAGCTATTAGGCCATTTCAGCAGCCTCCTGCTTCTTTGGTCACAAGCCCATTGGTGATGAATCTTTTCTTTCACTACAGCCATGCTGTCTTTTTCCTATCAACTACTCTTTAATCTCCTGTTTCAGGATCAGCCACCATTTTAAACCTAGAGGTTGTGCTTTGGCCTTTGCTACACCAATATAGAACTAGAGGATCCCCTCTGAGGTTAGGGAATGTTGTGCTAAAAATCTCTCCTGCACAGCCTGGGAGACTGTAGATCTGTTTACTTCTACTCTTCTGTCAGTGCCTTCAGGGCCCCACTAGTTCAGGGCATTCTGCCAGGTTTCTTCCAGCCCTTTGCTGCACCTTTGAAGGTTGGTTACTTCTGGCTGAACTTGCTTGACACCATCTCCTTTTTGCCATGTGCAATGTGTCTTTCATGTTAGTGGCACCATTCCAGTGTCAAGGAACCTTCTAGGAGTTTCTGTTTCTGGTCTTGTAAATATTTGCAGGAAGAGCAGCTATTTTAGGCTTAATTAATCACTTTGAAATTCATTGTCTGTTACTGCCATCACACACAGGCCCTCCCACTGGTGCACTATAACATGAATATATTAGGGGCTGTTTGCAGTCACCTGCAAACAGTGTAAAGTGTTTTTATAGTGGAAACACATGCCTTTTGACTAGCATTGAAATGATGCTGGATTTGACACACTGAGTGCCTTATATAAATATATGCTAGAAACCTCACCCAAATAATACAGGCTTCCTTCAGAAGTTTCTGTCTTGATTTATTCTGGTATATCATGTTATACTTCAGATTACAAACTTCCCATATGAACCCTTTAAATTGCAGTGCCGCCTTTAAATTCAAAAATATGAATGCATGAGACATCTTCTTTGTTGCCTGATGTTTTTTAAACGCATCTAGTTGACAATATTCCTTCCATTCCCTTCAGAAGAGAAAACCTGTATTTTGTCATTAAAAAATAAATGCCATGTCCATTCTACCAAACTGTATGGAAAAACTCTACTATAATATAATATAAAATAATGATTTTCTCATACATTGTTTTAAAATTGAACAGAATGACTAGTTGCCTCCTTGCTACAGAGGTCTGTAAAATGGCTTATATTTTTTTTTCCCATGTAATTCCATTAAACTCTATAGTTTTAGAAAATATTTTCTATCTAAAGATAAAAAGATGTATTTGTATGATGCCATTGCTCCACTTGCCACAGTTAAGTCATAGTTCTCCTTCCAAATGGCCACAGAAGGGGATAATGGCTTATGTTGGAAATATTTAACATTGTCGCCATAGGATTGTCAACCTTTGGAGGCTTGAAGTCCCAGGCACACTCCTTCCATCAATCTACTTACCCTGTCCTCTGGTGCCACATCTTCACACACTCATGTTCTTGCTGAAGATGTGCTCAGGGTGCTAAGCCCAAAGCATGGGGTCAGAAAAACATTGGCCTGCCCATGCAGACTGGACCAGAGCTTTCACTTACACTGCAAGCATCAGTTAAGTGGCTCATTTAAAGGAAGATACAACTAAATAAGTTCCTAAAATAGTAGGAATTGACTTGTGTGTATATGGAGAAATCATTTTGTTGATTAGAAGACCAGGACTGAACTCTAGTCTGGTGACAGTTCCTGGCTTAGCACAGAAGGGGAATGCTCCTTGTGTAACCCATGGATTTTGTGATGGGTACAATCAAGTTACCTACTGTTAAAAAGTTCAACATTGTACAAGCTAGACACTTGCCACCCAGATAAAACTAATTTGTGTGAGACCTTATTTGGTTGCTGGCCTAGTATGAAGGCCGTAAGGACCCAGTCCTGTTTGATACTGACAGTCCTGACCTGGGCATTGTAAATGCTCATCAGCAGAGACACAGAGTTAAGGGCATAAAGGTCCATCAATACCCAATTTGATTCAGTTTAGTCCCCTGCATAAGAGCTTTTCTACTTTAAGGCCAAGTGTCCAAATTTTGTATGATGAACCTGAGAGAAATTACATATGTTTCATATTTCAGACAGATAACATGCTAATTAAGGTATATGAGTAGTCTGAGATCACTCTCAGTGAGGTTGTTTACATTTTAAAATATGAGCGAGGGTTCAGTCAGACTCCCAGCTGGCATTCCCATATGAAGTCATGTTGCTATATTGTCATCACATCCTCTTGTGTCAGGATATTAATCTGTCCCACTGTCTATTTAGTCATCCCAAGTAGCAGGTTTAAGTCTACACAGCATATTCAGGTCAGCCTTGGACACTGCTATATATCATATTTCATGGTGATACACTGAGTGTTGTCATCAGAAACTCGTGAGTACTGAGTTTGTTTTAATTTTGTTTTCTTTTGCAGACCTGAAAGGAAGTGTGACCAGCCAATGTGCGAAGAGCATGAAGATGAAAGAATTAATATCTATTGTTTGAACTGTGAAATGCCCACCTGCTCCTTGTGCAAAGTCTTTGGTGCACACAAAGACTGTCAAGTTGCTCCTCTCACAAACGTTTACCAGCAACAGAAGGTAAATATCTTTTTGTATGTCACAGACAACTGATAGGATCATCAGTAGGGCTTCCTGTGAGTTTCCAAAGGGGCATGGGTGTGCCTTTGCCATTCCTGTGTGTGAGTGAAAGGCTCACACAAACAGTAATTTTTATTAGCGTAGTGAGTAAACATTTTAGACAGCAATTTGATGTGAACCTGAGGATCTCTTTCAAGATTCCTAATATCTTTTTTCAGTGCTTTTAGATCAGAAAAACAAGTGGGATTTACAACACATGAACTGGAAAGAGAACAGACCATTACAAACCAAATAGTTATCATCAGGCACTTTTGCCTTTAAGCATCCAATTTTTAAGAAAAGTTAAGTGAAAAATCTCCTTCTGCAAGTGAATGCAGGAATATTCAATAGTTGGCAGCACAGGATGTACCTAACATCCTCTGCCCTTGCTGTCACCAGTAGAAGACTTGTTTATTTTTAATACAGTATTAATTTAAAACCTGACTCACTGGGTTATTCTCCTGAGATAAACAGCTCATTTTTCTGGAGGGTCCCAGTGGGGCAAGCAATCAGACAGGCCAAGTTTGCAATCCCAGACTCCAACTTTGTCACACAGATGCTTGTGTGTGGAAACTACAAATGAGAAGTTGCTTTAGGAAAGTAGTTACAAACATTCTTTTCAATCAAAAAAAGGAGGGAGAAGGGGGAGAAGTTTCTTGGACTGAATCTATGCACCCAGTCACTCCCTTTGCATGGAGATTTGCAAGGAGCAGTTTCCTTCTCAGAGTGCCTGTGGAACGGGGCTGTCATGCCCAAGACTGGAGGTGTAACCTGGAGGCTTCAGGATATGTGCTTCAAAGGATTATTTACAAAGCTGGGAAGGCCATGGCTGCCTCTATCACAGGAGACTGCCAAGAGACCCTCACCCTCCCCAGCACCCTCAACAAGTTCCCTAAGGACCAGCTTCTCTGCTTCTCCTTTTCTAAAGATACCTCACAGTCAACCCCATCCCCACATTCAGGCCATTTCTTTCTTCCACTGGTTTCCCTCATGCCAGTGGATCAGCAGTCTCCACTTTTGCCTCCTCCTTTCCTCCCTTCTCCTCTAACCACAGCCCCAGCCCTGCTGCCTTCATGCCAGGGGCTCTGTAGCGCCCTGGTCCTTCCAGGTCCATGGACACTGCCAGGGTTGGAGCATTCACAACTTCCTTGGGCAACCCATTCCAGTGTCTCACCACCCTCTCTGTGAAGAACTTCTTCCTTATATCTAATCTAAACTTCCCCTGTTTAAGTTTGAAGCCATCACCCCTTGTCCTACCACTACAGTCCCTAACGAAGAGTCCCTCCCCAGCATCCTTGTAGACCCCCTTCAGATATTGAAAGGCTGCTATGAGGTCTCCACGCAGCCTTCTCTTCTCTAGTCTAAACATCCCCAACTTTCTCAGCCTGTCTTCATACGGGAGGTGCTCCAGTCCTCTTATCATCCTCGTGGCCCTCCTCTGGACTTGCTCCAGCAGCTCCATGTCCTTTTTATGTTGAGGACACCAGTTAGATGTGCCACCTTGAAGTGGGACAGCATCTAACACACTCCTGCTTGCTCTCCCCTTACTTCCTAGTCCGAGCTGAGTGATGGCATTGCAGTCCTTGTGGGGAGCAATGACAGAATGCAAGGGATAGTCACGCAGCTGGAGGAGACCTGCAAGACGGTTGAGGTAGGTACCACCTCTTTAAATGCAGTTATTTCAGCAAGTCACATCTTTTAAACTGCTGGTAACAATCATTCTTTAGCAGACCTCACTTTACCCAAATGCACCCCCACAGCCTTTCAGTAAACCATTACCTAAGGCTTTGTACAGTATCAGCTGTACTGCCTCAACCAAAGGATACATCCTGCTGGGCACCCTGCCTCTGACATTGGCCATGTGATCAAGGACAAAGAGTAAGAATAATCCACAATAGCACATCTTGCTCAGCATTCTTAGTGGCATAAGATATGACTGAAGTTAAAAGCAGATTCAACAAAATCCCATCAACTCCCAGCTCATTTAACAACTAAGATCAGGTTCTAGAGCTGTAAAAGTCTAAAGCCTGACTGGTCCTGTGAACAGAGTCTTAGTCTAAGCCATCTGTGTAGCATGGCACCCAAGTATGTCAGTGACCTCTGTATTTGGTTGATTCTGCACAGAAGTACTCTTTAATACACTTATGTTGTCCTTTGAGGAGTTTTGTTTTGTTGCTTGTGGGAGAGAAGACTTTGGGTATTTACTGGCTTTTCTCATAAAGGTCTAGTAAGACCTTTATGACAGAGCTGGAATTAGTTTTGTGTCTTTCAGTAGCAGAAGTGGCTTTCATTTCCTCCAAGAGGTTTGTACCAGCAAAGCAAATATGAATATCAGCTCTGACCAACTTGAGCATCACAGAGCAACAGGCTGAAAGGAGCTCATATGGATTGATTTTGTGATAAGAGTTTGATGAAGCATCTAGTGAAGGAGTTGCATCCCTCTCAGCCCAATTAGAATTATACTGAGCCTTTAGAGCTGGAGCAGAAAAGAGAAGTGGCAGAGAAAAATAAGTTAATCCAAGATGTATAGATTATAATTGGTAAGAAAAATTGATTCCACAATCTATGTACACAATTGACCAAGGCTCCTATTTCCTTAGAGCAAGGAAGAACAGAAAATGTCCAAGTTTGGTTCAAAGAACATAAAACCATTAGCCCAAGTAAATGAGAGTGGATGTTAGCAGCAGTCAGAACTTTGTAGTCAGGAAGGATGAAGTTGCAAGGATGGGTATGGCTACTATCAGGACTTTGCAGACAGAAAGAAGCTTTTCAAGTAGGTTAACTGCAGAAACTTGAATGATACAAAAGCAAAAGCTTATATTCATTTAAGTTGAACTAGCTGAACCAGAAACAAAACTTCAAATATCTAGTCTGAAGTATGGACAAAACTCTATGCTAAAAATACCTTAATAAATACAACAGTTTCTGAGACTGGCTTCCTCAGTCATCCACTCAGTTTAAAGTCTAACCTTTAAACTCAAATCCCAAAGAAAGTGCAGCCATTTTACCTTCAGATGTTTTAACAGGCTTTTCACCTTTAAAGTCAAAGACTGCAGAAAATAGATCGTAGAGCTTACCTTGGCACTTCCTTGTTACATTTCAAGCAAATCACATTTCCTACCACACAAGAGCTTTGTCTGAATTGACATCAGTTTGTCCTTGAAGATGAAAAGCTACAGCTGGAGCTAAGAAATGTGCACACATGGAAATAATACTTATGATCCAGGATTGTCTCTTCTCTCTGCTTAACACTTTGGAGAGAACAGTAAATATCTGCTTTAGCAGAAAATACATGACCGCTTTCCTTTTAGCTAGAGTAAGCAGTAGCCTACAGTTCCATATTTAGTTATTGCTTCTACCCAACCCTAAAAAACACATATTACACTGAAAATAAGAAAGGAACGGAAAACAAAAATAAAGTACTGTTTAGCCCTGTAAGCAATATAAGTCAAATAATGAAGGAAAAATTGCTATGTTTCAGTCAAATGCTAATAGCATAGGCCAGTCAATACAGATATTCCAGAACAAGCAGTGCACCTCATGCTCAGTGGCAAGGACTCCTTTATTTTTGCTGTAGCCATGCTTTAAGAAACAAAAAGGCTGAGAACATTTCAGAATGGAAAGTCATGTATTTTTTAACCTTTTTCATTACACAGAATCTGATTAGGGTAGTTCCGTGAGGCAGAGACTTCATATGGGAATATTGTATACAGAAAGAGAGTATTTCAGAAATATTTCAGCATTTGCAGTTAGGAACCTGTTTTGCCCTCTTACTTTTGGGGCTCACAGCTATGTAATATCTGCTGGCAGGAAATAATGTATATTAGATCTGAGAGTCAAGAAAGGATCTCTCAGGACACCCTGCTATCACCCTCTTGTTCTCCTTCTACCTCTTGTCTTGTATCACATGGCAAAGATAGTACATACCTGTCTTGAAATTAAGGTTGTTTTACAAGGGGTCTGAATGACATTTCAGAGGAGGTCATTGTAAACTAAACTGAAGAGGAACCTGTAGCAAGCAGAAGTGCAGGAAACACTGGGAGAAAACTAGGACAGGAGTGAAAGAAGAGAGGAAGATTACTTGAGGTCTGAAGAACAGAATGACACCCAGGAACTGTGACTCACTTGGTTTGAAAGCTTCCTTATCCCCACCCCTTAATTCACTAATCAGGAATTTCTGGGAAGTGGCAAGCACCTTCAGATGGTCAGGACAAGCCTGACCCCCTGCAGGGAGTTTTAAATTACAAGTGCCTGGTTAGCCTACTCTTCCTCATTAGAAAGCAGAGGTAGATACTTGGGTCAGTGCAACAAGATCTGTTTTCACTTTCCACCCCTCGATGCAGGCTATGATTTTTGGCCACACGTCCAGTTTTGAAAGTCTTTCTTCTTTGAATGATACAGAGCAGACTGCCACCACTCATAGGAAACAGCTCTGGCTGAAAGTCAAGAGAAAAAGTGTGATTCTCTTTGGCCAAGTGCTATGAATAATCAGTCTTATCACTTCCAAAAGTACTGTTGAACTGTAAATAATCCTGTGCTGCCAGGATCTCAGCATTATGCCTCAAGGGAAGAAGATGAGGAATTGATTCAGCCTCAGCTCCTAGGAAAGATTTTCAAATAATCACCATCAACCACAGCCAGATATAACCACAGTAAGGTTTTGCCCCAGGGCACACAGATGACTCAAGTACTTCTGTTTGGTAGACCTCAGACATTATAGATAACCTGTCTCCTATTTCCTTCCCATATATCCTCCCTTGCAAGTGCAGTGTGTTCTTGTTAGAGAGCACTCAAGGAAGCAGTCATCAAACTCATCCTCCTTACTCAGTGAAATATGGTATGTTGTCTGACTGGAAGGACAATAAAAGTGTCTCAAAAAATGATGTGAAAATCAGTGCCTGAAGGTGGGGTTGGAACCCAATTCCTCCTTCTTGTCTCTGTGCTTCTGTCACACACCGTTTTCTTTGTGGTACTGCTACCTCACTCAGTGCACAGTAAACGGAATATAATGGACACCTATTGTCAAAATAGAGTCTAAGTGGGTGTATGTGAAAATCAAGCCCAGCCAGGATAGTTCTAGGTTCTCTGGTAGAAAAATAAAATTCTCCAGAGCTGATATGAGACAATGACTCCTCTAAAAATCTAAATCTAAAAATCATTCTGTCCATGCAAATGAACCCAGCTGCTAACACAGTGGAGGTTTTTACTTTTTCTACAGACTTTGATGTGTCACTGCAGATATCATAAATACCTTTTACAGTTCTTTAGCAGACTGGCAAGTTATACAATAACCTGTTTGGGGGCTTGAAACTCAGAGTTTGAGAACGGTTTTAAAACTTTTGTTCCAGTAGCTTGAGCTTTGAAAATTATAAAAGTCTCTGGGGTCATTCAGAATCCTTTGCACTGCTCAGAAGGAGGAATATCTTTGATGAAAAGGCTTCCAAGTAACTGTAAAAATAGAAACTCTTTTAAGAACATAACATGTTTAACATAAACCAAACGATTCACAGGAATGCTGCAGACGACAGAAAGAGCAGCTGTGTGAAAAATTTGATTATCTCTATTCTGTACTGGAAGAAAGAAAAAATGAGATGACACAAATAATCACCAGAACCCAAGAGGAGAAACTGGAACACGTCCGCTCCCTGATGAAGAAGTATGCGGATCATTTGGAAGCTGTGTCAAAGCTGGTTGAATCAGGAATCCAGTTCATGGAAGAACCAGAAATGGCTGTGTTTTTGCAGGTATAAAGTCTGTAAATGCAGATAGAAGAAGAATGATGGGTTTATTGAAGTACTATTTAAGCATTTCTTGATTTTAGGCACATTCAGAGTTTGGTCATCTTTCGGTGAACATTTACACAAACTCATTTTTTAAACACTTGCATCAGCACAGACAAATGACTAGTCTTCTTGTGAATAGTATCCAAACTAAGAATGTATTTGATATTCTCACCCAAATATACTATCCTGGGTATGAATTTCTCAACCCCAGAGAATAAACAGGAATTTCAACATTTTCTAACATATCTGTAATGTCCCACTGTTGTAATATATGTGTACTTGAACTTCTGTGAGTTATAGGTTTTGTTTACATATTGACAGAGTGATTAACTTCTCACGAATTAAATATTTATGTTCTAAGTCACATTTTTATGATTTTACTTATTTTTTTCCTACAATTTCTCTATATTAAAGGCTGAAAGGATGTTTTCTAAAATATATAGATATATTAAAAAAAACACTATTTTCATCAAAGAATTGCCTTTGATGAGTACAATATTCTTTCCAGACAAAGAGGCTCCAGAAGTATGCCCTTATGGATAGTCAAATATAGTTACTGTGACTGAAGATGGTAATGCAACATTGCTTTTCACCACAAACACACACAAAAAAGGAGCAAAAATATTTCCATTTTATTTTTGAGAAATTGTACGTACTTCCTATCCTATTTGGATTTTAATTAAAAACTTTTCAATGAACTAAAAGGTTTACTCACCTGCATACTAATTATCATGTAAATCTGATCTCATTCATAGATCTCTCATGGTTGTCATTTATGAGATCCATAGTAGCATGTTTAGAAGCAGACACCGTCAGAATAATATTTCAATATATAAAATCTCTGAAAAAAAAATGAACCATTTAAGAAGTCAGTTGTTTCCTTTTTGTTTTCACAGAATGCCAAAACATTGCTACAAAAGTAAGTACCTAAACTTGAGACTCTTGATCATTATAATGAATTACAAGTTGCTAATTTATCTGCAAATCTAAATGCCAAAATAACTAAATTCTGTGTTTTAGAATTACTGAAGCATCCAAAGGATTTCAAATGGAAAAAATAGAGGATGGGTATGAAAATATGAATCAATTCACAGTGAACCTTAGTAGAGAAGAAAAGATAATACGAGAAATTGATTTTGACAGAGGTATGTCATTTATTTCACCTAAACTGCTTACTTAAATTGTAGCTCTGTGTGATTTACATTATGATACTGGTAGCAAAACTTGAATCAGCTATTTCTATCCATCCCAAAGTGTAACTAGACCATTTCATATCAATTATAATCAAAAGCAAAAATCCATCACAGTTGAAAAAAACACATAACATGTTGACACCATGAATCTTACCTTTTATATGTCCTCAACACTTTCCTAAGCCTGAGATCTTTACTGACTCCTCTTGTGAAGGAACCACGAAATTAAACTTTTATTGTATGGCCTGTCTGCTCTAAAAAGGCATTAAAGAAGTAGATTACTTCTTTACTTATTACTTTAATAATCAAGTTTATTACTAAAAGAAGTACTTATGACAGATACTTTTTTTAACTCTTTTTTTATAATAATTGAGAAATATAACAGAAACATAAAATTCAAGATCACAAGAGCTACAAAGGGAAGCAAAAGTTGTTGTCATCTTTCATGCATTTAACATCATGTCATGTCATTTGTCATGACATCATGACTAAACATGTTTAATACATATATAATAGTGCAAAGTTGTAATTTTACATTTACCAAAGTAGCCTGAAATCTAGGCTCACCTGTGCTTTACCTTACAGCGTAACCCACGAGAAGTTAATGGAGACAAATGTTTCAAATAAGCAGATCTCTCCTATTAAAAGGCAGCTGTAACAGTCGTCTTGATATCTCTAATTTTCTTGCTAGCACTGGATTCTGCTGGTCCATTTACATTTACCTTTACCAGCCAATTAAGTCTTATGCAGATGCCTCCCATCTCTTACTCCTCTGCCAAGATTTATACTAACTTCAGAGTGCATGGCTGCTCTCTGCAAGGGACCCTGCACACCTGCCGTGCCGATCTTTGTATGTAGGTTGGAATCTGTTGACTATACTTGGCACTGGGATTCATGTAGTGGGACAGCAGCTGTGCGCCAGTCAGCAGCAGAGAAGCAGGTGTCATCTCACAGGGCCATGAACCTCCAGGGATTTGTCCTGGGAAGTACAATCCCTAGTCACAGCCCCATGCCCAGTTCTTCCCTGTGATCAGCCACAGCTGCCACATCCCTGCCATGCACGGGCATCTGCCAAAATCGTGACCTTATGCTCTGGACAGACACACACCCCCACCATGTGATAGGGAATGTGATACCCACCTCCTGGAGACAAGCCATAAGCAAGGGCTTTGGCATTCAGGAGTTCAGTCCTGTATTTGAAACTCGTACTGCAGCCAGTGAGGTCCCCTGCAGCCCAGGGATGTGTAAGCCGAGATTCAGCACTCTGCTTACAGAAGTGTATTTGCCTGCAGAAACATCTCTCCATTATGAGGGTGTTACTTAATTCGCATATCTACATTCCTTCTAAATATTCAGGCAGAACTATAACCTGTGCAAAATGTGCAAGCAATTTGGAGCTTGCATTAATGCATCCACTTAAGTTTATTTCTCTGAAGTGCTAGCATGGCTCTGAACAACATCAGGTGTTTATGAGAATGAGTAGTGTGACTATGCAAAAGAAAGTGCATTGTTAGAGGGCTCCCTCTGGAAACGAGCCAAGGCATGAATGCTGACAACAGGATGGGTCAGATGATGCAGAAGTGATGGTTTGACCAAGTTTGACAGTCTGATTTCAGGAAGGTCGGTATCCCAAACTTCCAGTCAGGTATTGCAAAGCACTGATGCGGTAAAGATCTATTTTGATGGCTTCAATGGTGTTTAAAACAAACATGCACCTACAATTGCAAGAGGGACTTCTTTCCCAGCTGATTATGTCAGACCAGGTGTCCTCTCTGCAAAAAGTGCAGGGCTGTGCTGCACATCCCTCATGAGGATAACTGCATTGACTGGACTTTTTGTCCTCCTTCCCATGGAAAGGGTCAGCTTTAGATTTTAACAAGTGTGTGTGTGTGTGTGTGTGTGTGTGTGTGTGTTTGTGTGTGTGTGTGTGTTCAGGGTCCTTCCTGCTGCAAAGTGCCTAATGACAGATCCATGGCAGTGCCTAGTCCAGGCTGTTGGGACCAGGCTCCTCACCTATGTCCTCTCGCCAGCCTGCTTCCCCTGCCAGGCAGAAGATTATCAGTACATTTGCCATGCAATTGTAAATGGCTTTTTAATTACATAAAGATTGTAGTCATATTCATGTGTTGCTCATCCCTGTCCTTTTACATGTGTCCTATCAGAGGAAGAGGAAGAAGAGGAAGAGGAGGAGACAGTGGATGGTGAAGACTTGGATGAAGTCCACACAGAGTCATCAGGAGAGGAGGAGGTGGAGGAAGAGGTGGAGGAGGAAGGCACTGAGACAGCACCACAGCCACCTCGGCAGGACCCTGAACCACAGGGCACAGCAGGAGAGCCCCCAGCCAAACCCGCTGCAGTGCCACTGCCTGCCACCCCAGCTGGTCAGGTAAGTGCCCTGGTGCCTCAGTGCCCTGACAGCTATGCTGAGTGCGCCCTGGCAGAGCAAGAAAACACTCCCTGGTGCCTTGTAGGCACCATATGTCAAGAGCACGGCTAAAGGAGTCAACGCGCTGGAGAGCAGAATTGTTTATTGCCCTTGTATACATATACACAACTGTACCCTTTCCTCTCAACCTGTGTATATATAGCTTAATAGGCAAAAAATTACACTGCTAGATAAGTTGAGATGTATATGGGATACATAAGATATAAATAGAAGAGATCTAGCTTGGGAGTCAGGCACATTACAATGAGTTTTCTGCTTGCTGTGGTTTAACTGAGACTATTATAAATGAAATGGTTGTTAAAATATTTTTACCAAAAGAATTTGACATTCCCTCTGGATTTAGTGAGCTTTTCTGCATCAATTTTTACATCGTACCTCCTACCCATTTTCTGTGAATGGCATTGGCCACCTTCTGCTTTTGTCATTGTAGGGATTTCATCCCGGAGGATATAGGAATATCACAGACCAAAAAGGAGACGAAATGGTCTTTTACAACCTAGCAGCAAATAGATTCAGGGTGTGAATAATTTAGGCCAGCACTTTTTCTTAAGGAATGTGATTAGAATGAGACCATGATTGCCGCATACTCTAGAAGACCGACATAAAAAAATATTTTTTCATGTGCTACTTTAGCTGGCCTAACATACAATTAACTTAGCAAATTCTCCTCTTATGCAATTTACCCAGTGAAGCTGCTGAGATGGTAAAGGCTGCTATGAAGATACTTGAGTAGACAGGTGTGTAAACAATAGAGCACGTAAGGAATCTTTGATTGTAGCAAGCTCCCCACATAAAACAAGGGAAAATAAATACTATAGATTCATTCTTGCTTTGATTTAAAAACATACATGAGTTAACACCAGTTGTGTGAAAATGTTCTTAAATCAGGCTTTATCGATTTTTGTATTTTGAGGATTTGCACTGACTTAACTAAGTTTATGTAGCCTAACTGATGTAGGGCTTTATGCAAACAAGAACTAGATATGAGCAATTCTTCCCACTAACATGAAATCCCTCAATTCTAAGGCTAAAGTGGGAAATTTGACAGCATGCTGCTGTAGCAACTGTAAAACGTTATTAGGAAATGGTCAGATGTGGAGTCAGACATGGCATGTGGGTGTTGCGGTGTGTTGGGATACCTGTATTTCAGCTTTTGCCTTCTGATGCAAGAAAGGCAAAGCAGAAATGCTGTGGTGATAGCATGAACCATGTGGGTGAGCCCTGAGAACTTGGTGCAGGTAGAGAGGTGCAGTTCAACTGGTTGTTCCTCTTCCTGGCAGAGAAGCTGTGCTTGTCTTACAGCACTGATAGCAAGGCTGGTGGGCAAATATTTCTCTCCTCTGTCTTTGTATTATCCTTATTCTGACTGCTCATATCAACAGGCTTGTTGGCAAATGAGTTGTTTTTAACCCAAAACCTGACAAGCCGTTTGAAGGTACCTACACCTGTCCACAGCTGGTACCGGTTCATGAGGCTTTTAGGCACAATTTATTTTATTTTTAGGATCGAACTGGATGTTCATCTGAATTAAGGAACTGCTTGCTCACTCCTTTCTCAGTCAGCATCCCCTTCCCAGCTAATTCTACCCTCCAATTCTATTATTTGGGTAACTTATTTTCTTTCCCTTAGCTGTGTTATTTAAATGATAGTTGCTTTTGCTTTGCATTTTGATCGTAATTCTTTCAGACCATATATTAGGACAAATCTATTCGTTGCAATGATATATAACAAACATGGCATGCAGAGCAATGTAGCTATGGCAGGAAGGTAATGTGGTGCACTCTGCTTGTTCTTCTCTTTATCTGTCCTGATTAAGGATGAGGTTGTGACACCAAGTGGTTCTCAACAGACCCCAGAGTCTGACACTCAAGTGCCGGCCACAGCAGAAGCCACCGATCCTTTGTTTTACCCTAGCTGGTATAAAGCTCAGTCGCGGCAACCAAGCAGTCCAAGCTCAACCCCAGTGAGTGGGCTGGGGACAGTAGGGCCTCCTATTTCTCTGGAGACAAGTGTAAAGAAGGCAGAAGCCCCGGCAACAGCAGCAATCAAGGAGAGTGCACCAGGGAGTGGTAAGGAAAGTAATGCCACTACAGCGACGTCCAAGGTCAGTGCTACCGAAGTCACCTCAGAGGGCTGTGACGCGCAGCAAGGCGGGAACAGTATCTGCTAAGGAAAATGTGACTTAATTTTCCTCTGCATGCTAAAGAATAATAATTTCAGAAATATGAAAACAGCACAAATTGTCATTTCAGCAAATCCCCTGGATTTACAGATGGTTTCAGTATGTGACAGGCTGACTTTTGAGCTTCAGAATAGCATGCCAATGGCTGCTTGTGCTTAACTGCCAGTGTACCTCGCTTGCGCGAGCTGTTATCCAAGTTGCTCGTGCACAAGCTCAGGAGCTGTTGGAGAGGCTGGCAATGTCTCTGTGCATCAGATGCATGCATTCGTAGCAGACAAATCCTGTGCATGAGATTACTCCCTTCACCTGTGAAAGCCTGTGTACATCACCTACCATCCTACCACCTCTGACTAAGCAGCTATGGCTTGACTTTGCTTTGCGCAGCTCTGTGCTGCACCTGGAGTGTGTGGCTTTCCCACGTGAACACAATGCTATGCAAATACCCAGAGCCTTCTCATGTGTTTGATTGCCTCTCAGTAAGCAGTGTGATTTCCTAGGTTCAGAACTGTTGCAGGGGGTTTCCTCCAAGGATTCTTGGGACTTGATTAAATGAGAGTACGAAGATAATATATTCCAGTTCTGTGTTAGACTACCAGCAGCATTATGGGATAACAGAGACTGATGTGTTAAGTACAGGAGGAGGTTTTCCTTAAAAGTACGTTGTTAGAGTTGGTATAACCTGAATCTGAATACTCCTTCTTTTGCATATGTATACAAACTTCACATCGGTCAAAGATCCAAAGAACAGAACTGAGAGAGCTGTGTGTGAAGGATTTACACAATACACTAGCTCCTGCTTTAGTGCCTGGCTACCAGCCCATGAGCAGCACTCTCTAAATCACACCATCCTGATTTACAGGCTTAAGCTGTATGTATTAACAAAGCAATTACCTGTATGCGTGTGATGAGATTATGTGTGTGTGTGTGTGAAAAAGCACAAGTGGGTCATAGGTATTTAATGCTATTTTCTTTAAAGTTGGAGTTGACCATTTAGCATACATGAAAAGTCTTACCATGATAAACCATCACATGGCGAGCAAAAAGTTAGCAGTATTTCCTACAGGTATGATAAAAGGGCACTTACTTACCTTTTAGCAGTGACAGTTGAATTTGGTGATGGAATGATTCTCACCAACTCCAGTCTTAACAAAAGCAACATTTGACCCCCAAATTTCGGTAACTGTTTTTCAAGTCAGGGTTTGATTTGAGAAAATTTGAGTGCAATAAGAAAAGTAAAATTAAATTATCAAACCTCATGTGACCTTGTCTTAAGCATATTCCCAATGAGCTGGCAAAAGCAAGTAAATTCACAGTGGAATTTATTGCTGCTGTTCCTTCCTATCAGTTCTACAGACAGCCAGACCTCACCATAGGCATGTAAAATCTGTACAGGGTTAGTTTCCTGGGAGTTTGCCTAACTGTTGTCTGCTTCCTTGGGTCCTAATATACCAACAGCAAGCAAAGGAGCAAAACTAATGTTTGATGTGCGTAATTGTCTGAAAAAAAGCGACAGTCTGGTACAGACAGCTCTCTTCATTGTCAAGTAATAGGAATAAAAACAGGGACATGGGAAAGATGTCATTTCCCATTGGCATGTGAGTTTTGGGGTGCTGGTTTTCAGAATTTTCCCAGATCATGACTGGCACTGACATTTTGGGAGGAAGAGGAGGATGTTGAAAAGAGTAGCACGTGGTTCTGGGCATGCAGGGAGGAAGGAGCAAGGGACGCAGCTGAGGCTGGGATTGCCCTTGGACTGGAGACCGAGGAAAAGGTAGGAAAACTCAGGAAGCAGAAAGATGCAGAGTGTGCTGAAGAACAGAAAAAGCAGAGTGACCAGGCTAAGAAGGGTGATGCCAGGAGATGATGCCACAGCCAGATCTTTGGGTCTGAGCTGAAATATGTCTATCTCACGAGCAAAATGGCTGCTGTCCTGTGGCAGTGATAATTTCTAAGTATGTGAACTTCAACTGTGTTTTTTTCCTGCATGTGATTTTACACAACCCACTCTGAAATGCCATATTTGTGTATTTTTTTTAAACCCTGGCTGATTAGACCCTAGTTCGTCACATCACTGTTTTTACTCCCTTCCTCCAATTAAAGGATGTCATGGAAAAGTGCTGTGTAAACAGAGCTTTTTCACTAAATGCAGTGATAATGACTAGTTTGTGTCATGACAACACTGGTGAAGCACTTTTCTTATTTTCTCACAGGAGTTAGCATTCTGCATATCACTTTTGGCATTTCTTATCATACTACATCATCTTTGGAATCTGATTCAATACATGATTTGTACTTTCATGGGTAGGAAATATTTCCTTTTACCATTAACTAACAGTTCAAATAGTGTCTGTGGTGATGTTCCTACATGGTTTTAAAGGACTTTTTCCCTTTATTCCCACCCAAAAACATCATGCTAGTTCACAATACAAGCTGCCTAAAACATTTTTTCCTCCCGCCTTGGAAATGCCACCCTTCATCTTACTCCTGCATGGTCAAATATTGCATTGCTGGTTCAAAGTGGAAAGAGAAAATTACTTCCTCAGATATATGGGCTTATATTTCAGTTGCTGTTCAGATGACCAGCAGGATAGAGAACCTGTGGTTTGACAGGAGATGTGAAGAGCCCCAGGCTTGTTCAGTCCAACAAACTGGGGAGGAAGATCTGGAAGTTTATCATCAGAGGGGTAAACATCAGGAAGCAAAATCCACTGAATAATCCTGCAGCTGTGATTCCCACCATGAGCAAATCACTGGTGCT